TCTGCAAAGTGCTGGCGAACACTTTTCTGCAAAAGTGCAACAGCTGCTATGTATCGTGCATGTGCATGTGTCTCGGCTGACGAAGCTACAGCAAGAGGCAACAGTCGTTTGGAGTGATGCAGCCAGCTGCAGTATTTTCAATGAAGATGTGTGAACCGGGATTCGATCTGCGAAATGACCTCCGCGAGCTTACATGAGTGTCGTCGGCTTCAAAGCCACTTAAAGAACACACGTACTGCACGCAGACAACTCTGCGTGGAATCTTTAGCTTGACCAGCTCGATTCTTTGGGGAACTACAGGAGCCTCACCCGCATGTTTGTTTCCCCAGGTCTTTATCTCCCAACCATGAAAATTGTGCCGCTTGCACAAACATCAAGACCAGAACATGTCTCAAGATGTCAACATTGCAGCCTGCCGAAAGGGCTGGTGCCGGGGCCGTGGTCGTTCGCCTAGCAGTGCGACAACTCCAAGGCGTCTCACCTGAGGGACCTCGCCCGACGGCTCCGTGGTGAGGCGAGATGGGTGTGCCCGGAGCTGACACTGAGCCTCGCTCGCACTGCCCTGTGCAGGCCTTTGGGGAGAGGTGACCTCATCCCCTTCGGTCTCGTAGGTATACGAGTACGACTGGCCTTCGTGCTCTCCGGCCGGTCTGCTGCGGCCTTCCTGCACCAGCTCTCGGGGTCTGGCCCTAGGCGGCGTCGGTGGGCGAACGAAACTCGCAGGCTGGTCACAGCCCGGGCCCTCCGCGCAGCGAACCGCGGGCGGGGCCCACGCTGAGCGAGACACCCTCACCGAGTCTGGGTGCTCGGTCCTGTGGCCCCTTCGCCACTCCTCGTACTCGTACAATGATTAGAGGAGCGGATCCCGAAGGATCGGGCTCTGGAAGGGTCTGCCCTTTCCAGAAGCCGGGGCGCCCTTGCCACCGCGCCCCTTGCCCTGACTGGCTGGCCCACTTCCAGGGTCTTCGCGGTGATTTGCTGCGCCTTGGCCCTTGCCAGCGGGAGGGTCAGGGCCCTTTCCTGTGTGTGGTCCCCTGCTGGAAGACCTTGCCTTGCTCTTGCCTTTGGGCACTTCCTGGCCTTTGCCCTTCCCTTTGCTCCTTTCCTGGCTGTTGCCTTTAGCTTTGCCAGGCATCCACTTCCGGAAGCGAAGAGTCCGCAGCCCGTAGGCCTGTCTCGTGCACTATAATGAAGCAGGCCTTGCCTGCTCATCCGCCTTTGGCCGGCAGCGCAGCCCTTACATGCTTGGTTCGAAGGCTGAGTTCATGAAGAAGGGCGACTTCGGCCGGAAAACCTTGCATGGGGACGGGTGGGCTATGGTCAGGAGCTCGCCTCGCTCTGCCTCCCGGCTCGGGTCCCTTCTCAGCTCGGAACCTCTAAGCAGCTTGCCAAATAAGCGTATGGGCTGTGCTCGTAGAAACCATGGGGGGGGTGTTCAGCCTACTAAGTATCCATGTGACAGAGCATGCGCCAGGTGCCCAGCTCAAGGGCACGAGGCTGTGCCCACCGCTGCGACTGGAGGTTAGTGAACTGTGTCGCTGTACGAGTTCAGGTTTTGGCAATAGGTCATCAGGTGTTCTAAACCCAAACCTTGAATCTGGCTTTTAGGCTTACCTCTTCAGTCGCCTCGTATTCCATCTCGTGAAGATGTGGGGCTAAGACCAGTCTCGCTTCCTCGGCGTGGTGGCCGGTCCGAGGATGTGCTCCACACGGCGTAAAGGACTGCCTAGCAGCATGGATTAGCTGCCCGGTCCTTGGTGCAACACCATGACGACTTCTATTGCACAGTCCGGTTTCGATTCTAGCATGTATCCTTTAAGCTGATCAGGCAGCCAGTTGTTTCTTGACCTGAAAACCTGAAGCGTCAACTCCCCCCCCCTCTCCCTGCCCCAGGCAGACAGTTCCTTAGGTCGGCAATCCTCGATCAACGTCCGGTTCATGAACGGTCGGGCCAGCGATCTTCTACCCGATCGGCTTCAGACCCCAAGTTCTAGTCTTCTAAACTAAAACCTAAAGCACAGAGGGACGTTCTTGACGAGTCTTGCGCCCATGCGTGCAGATGGCTTTGCAGCCATTTCTGCGGCGTGCCAGTGCTCGATCTTCTCATCGTTCGGCATTGTTGGGAGGGTCCACGCGCTTCGTGGACGCCACGTCCTTTGTGTGCCCAAGCCCTAAACCCTAACGCGGGGCCATCGGGCAGGGCAGCTGGGACGATGAGATTTGCACAACCTGAAGCGCCTCGACAGACAAGAAGCCCCCTCAAATCTTTCGGGGGAAATCGAGATGACGTCAGTGTGCACCATCTCTAAACGAAGGTGCAGGCTACCGCATGGTCGAGCGGTGCCGAGAGCAAAGTGATGGCGAACACTTTACTGTCTCTGTTTTTCTATGCGGGCCCTCTGCCGAAGTTGCAATAAGGGCAACTGCATGGATCTCCGAGATATGCAGCCGGGTTGGGCCGAACTTGCGAGCAACGTGCCCATGCCGATGTGACCTTGCGAAGTGGGCGCGAGCTTCCGGTTGCTTGTGTGGTTCGAAGGCTGAGTTCAAGGATGACTTCGACAGGAAACCTTCGGGTACGCCTGGAAGCGGCGGCAGCGGCGTGCCAAGGTTCTAGGCACGAAAGGTTCAGGAGGGAACCTCCGATTTGTGCTGATTGTTGGCACTCGCCTTCCAGTACCTCCCAGCCTGTTTCCGCTGGCCCGTCCCTCTGAGGCAGCTTGTTTGCCGGTGTGCGCTATCTTCTATGCCTTGCGGCCAGCTGTCGACCGTAGGTGCCCGTCGGGTCGGACTTGGTTTCGGGCGGGCGGCATCAATGTGGGCCGTGTTACGCGGATGTGCAGCCTGTTTATCACTTCGATATCTATCACCCCAACATCAGCTCCATCGTTGCGGCGTTGACCATCGCCTGCTGTGTGCAGCTTTCAATGGTCGTCTCCCGTTGTTTGGCTTGGCAGGAAGCGCCCTGCGTGGAAACGGATGGATTCGCTGCTGGAGCCCTCCCAGATTTGACACTCCTTCGCGAAATCTCCGTGAAAGACCGAAAGGAACACTCCTTTTTGCCAAAGATGCTTGGCGACAGGTCGCAGCCATGTGTCATCATCGAAATGCTGCGTACATGGCGCGCGAAACCTCGTATCACGGCAGTGCGACGCGCAAACACTTTCTGCAAAGAATCAATGTGGAATAAAGCTCAAAACCCCAACCTTAGAGTAGCTTCTGGTTTATTTAGAATGGGATTTGTGTCCTGCCTGCAGTGGCCATCAGAACCTTAATTCGGATCTCAGGATCTCTTTGGCGTGTTGGGGTGTGCCAGGACGCATCGAAACAGTTCTAACGGTTCGAAACGGATTCCAAGTATTCAGGGCCACTGCTGCATTGGTTCCCAAGAAGGTGCCGATAGTTCCTGAGATTTGTGCAATAGTTCCAAGGCCCCTGTGAGCAGTCACACAAAAACAAACCACAGAACATGCCAACCCCAACCTTATAGCCGAACGTCCTAGTTGCAATTGCCACTTGCTTTTCCGCCTGAGTCCGACCCAACAGCTAGCATGCAGTGATGCTCAGAGGACTCGTGTCGGGATTCAGCACAATTTGCCACTATGTGGGTCTTTCATACGGATGGGCATCTCCCAGAAGAAAAGGCAACACTGGAGCGACTTGCATCGCCCTGCCATCGTCCGGTTCATTTCACTTCAGAAGATTGCTCTTCGCATGCCTTGAACGCTTGGCAGCCTCGGCGGCAAGCTGCCGGCAGAGGTATCTCCTCAACACTTAAAGGATCTATCTAAAAGAATCTTAAGTGTAAATGTAAACCTGCCGATCTCCCAATGACTGCCCTCCCTCGCAGCTGCTTTGCTCACAGCTTTGTCTTTCGACTGCTGTCGTTTCTGGCGTGGCGGCGAAGGCTCTGCTTGTGCCTTACTCTTTCGGGCCCGCGGTTTGTCTGAAAAGCACGTGTGGCGGCTCTGATCCACTCTTCATCTCACCACATGGCGAGGTCATCGCAGTGCCAAGTCGTATCAGCACAGCTTTTGTTTCGCAGGCTGTCACGCTTGGGTCTTTCATAATGCTGGAGAGAACTGGGGCTTGTGCTCGTTCGGTTTGGCAGTGGAAGGCTTTGCCCGTGCCTTGCTCAGGCTTATCAACGAATTTACTGATAAGTGCGCTTGTCGGAGCTGGTCCACTCTCGATGTCACCACCTTGCGACATCACATGATGTCACGTGAATCTCACGAGCAGAATGAGCAGAAGGGCCTGCATTTGCGGTCGCAACTTTAGACGAACATTGCGGTCACGAGTTTCCTGCACCACTGCCAGCCGGATGGATTTCTCCCTGTTTGAGATGCGTCCGGAAACCATTGCTTTGTTTTTCCTTAGGCGCTGAATCTTGACATGACAGATGATCCGAAAAGGCTGCATGCGCAAGGTATGCGCAAGCGCGGGCCACGGGAAGGCATAAGGTCTGAAGCCAGGGATGTATCATGCGAATACATTAAATTATTTGTCCGCACGCACAAGGGCGCACAAGGTCAGCAGAAGTGCCAAAACTCGGAACTAAGGAATTGGACAATGCTCAATTACTTTTCGCAATTCCACTGATTCGCGCAAAGCCTTTTAACGCAACAGCCAATGTCTGCAAGTCGTGTTCATCGTGCCGGTGAGGGGCCTGACCACCCAACCGATTGCTTAGAGATGGAGCGAGTGTCGACCAAGCCTGCAAGTCTTGAGACACCAAAAGGCGGCGTGACCCCTCAAGGTCTGCATGATCTGCTGGCATCCTTGCATGCAAGTGGCAGCTTGCTTGTTGTCAGGAGTTTCTTTACCTGCCTAAGAGATCGCACAGCAAACTCACTTTGGAAGTAAGGGCCGATAGCCATCGGAAGGGAGTCGGGGAGGGCCGCGTCTTTTGCTGAGAAAACGACGTGCCATGTTGGGCACTGCGCGTGGTGAAGCTTGCGAATGTACAACAGCACTAAAGTTAAGTGAGGCACGTCACAATGGGCACTTGTGCTCCCGCAGAGCTTATTGTTCCACTGACATTCTGTATATCATGCACCTATTTCGAGTGGTCTGCGTCTGTAGACGCGACGCCCCTGTCTCAACATAAGACACTGTCTTTTGAAGTAACAGACCGAATCCTACTTGAAGCGCCCGGAATAGGAGAGTATAGGATTCAGTTTTGTCCGGTCTTCGGTGCATTGGTGATGAAAGCTGGCTCCTCCTCCTCCTCCTACACCCACACCAGCTACTTAGTTCCTCGGATTTGTCCCAGAACTGTCGGGACTGCGAGGGCAGCTTTGCAGCTTGCCAGCTCCGCACTTCAAGCCTTTCTGCGCTCTGCGGCTTGGCCGAGCGCAATCTTCTTGCCGCTTGGCCTGGTGGGGAATGTCCCAGGTCCACCAGCCTGGAAGCCAAGGCTGCGCTTTGCAGAAGCGCAGATTCCAAGTTAGCAGGGAGGCGGATTTTCCCTCCCAGGGTCAGGGTCCCAGCCCGAGCCCTGATCTCTGAAACGTCGGGCCTGGCGGGGCCCTGGGCATCCCCTGGCCGCAAGCCGCAGCACCAAACCGTGGACGATGAACACCACATGCATCAGTCTTCATCGAATCATAATCAGAAGTCCGGACCAGTCTTCATGGCTCCTTCGGCTTCAGTGAAGGCCGAGGCCGTTGCTGCCAGCAGGCTTCGGAGAGAGGGGACCTCGGAATGTTAAGCAGTTTCCTTCAGGATTTGTCCTTGCGAGGTTTTGATGTTCCTTGGTGTGATGATGGGGCACATCTACTGAAAACCCCCTTCACTGCTTTCGCCTATTAGTTCCAGTTCCCTCCCTTTCGGCAGCCCCCTGCCTGAACCTGATCGGGATCCTGGCTGTTGGGGGCTTTATGGCGGCTTCTGGCAGCTCCTTCAACCCAGCGGGAGTCTTCAGGGTTCAGCTGCTTTAGGTGTTGAGGGTTCAGTAGGGCTGAAGAGCCTCAAACGCATTCCGAAGCCTTGAGCCCCTCGCAGCTTGCTCTTTGCTTTTCCGACGCCGCGAAGTGGTGACCAGCTTCAACAAGCACGCTACTAGGTGCTCAGCGTGCTGCTGAGCCTCCGGATTCCGTGCACGGGAAGCGTTGAACTCATGCCCGTGCGGCGTGGAGAGGCACCAGCGATCCCAAGCCTTTGCCTGCCTTTTTTTCAGAACTGCTACCCTCTGACTGCTGCGGGTCCAGCGTCCAAGCTGGATCTTCAGAGCATCTTGGCGCAGTCCACACGCACGTGTCAGCTTTCGAGGAGGCTCAGGTTCAGGCGATGTGTTCCTTTCGATGCGCACTGCTTTGCTCCGGCATCGTGAGGCTTTCGCCAAATCACTACATCTCGTGCTGAAGCTGATCTCAGCCGTAGGGTTCTCTGGACTTGGCAGGGTCACTTCCTCGGGCTCGGGATCACTGGATCACTTGTGGAGCTGTGTAGCAGTTATATGCGCGCCGCTCGAGAGAGGTCTCGTCACAGCCTCCGCCCCGGCTTGCAGAAGCGTTGGTGCAGGAGCTGCAGCTCTGCCTCTTTCTCTGGCCTCCAGTACTGTTGGTGCGATGCAAAGCCTGACGGGCATCCCTGCTCCCTGCTGGGAGCCTGGTTCCGGCAGCCCTTATCAACGTCCTCGACTCAGATACATGCACTGGGGCGACGGGGAGGATCACCCGTTCGCCGTTCATGTCTCAGAAGCTTTGCGCGCGGCCTGAAAATGTCAAGCTGATTGCAGGTCATGGCCGAATGCAGGTACGTGCCATGGAAGTTTGCCCGGACCGAGATGTGGATGGCCGATTCAGACCAAGACCTGTCGCCCGAAGCGCATGCCGCGGATTTCAGTTGCACTGAAGCTGTTGGGATGTACTGGTTTGGTTTGGTGATTCCCATCTCCGTGCAGAAGTTCCAGCCAGCAAGGCTTTTGGGGAGTATTGCGCATGTCCTGCGGCAGCATGCATCGCCACAGCAGGTCACATTCAACATCCCGAAACACTCCGGGGTCAGCACTTCGCGCTGATCCTGAGCCCTGAATTCTCAAACTGCGGTTGCCGACAAATAGCACGAACCCTTCACGAAAACCCTCTTCTGACAGGAGGTGTTCATGTATGAGTGTGGAGGTGTTGTCCTGAGGGCCTGTCTCCAGACTGCAAATCTTGGAACATTCCGAAAATGTCGCGTTGGAGCCTCGATGCCGCGACCTTTCGCGCTACGCGCGATGCGATGACGATTTGGTACGAGAACCGGGCACTGACACTTTCAAGCCCGAAGATCCGATGAGCAACATGATTTAGGTGCACGTACTCTCTCAGAGGCGGTGCAGAAAAGTCGCGTGCTTTGATCTGCCGGCCATGGGTCGTAGGACGAACAGACCACCCGCCCCCAATCTTCATAGGCTGCCCCACACGTGAAGATCCGCTAAAGAAGCACTTCGTGGGACGCTGAGCACCTTTACATGTATACTTGATCTATAGGTTGAACCTTTTCTTCGAAAGAGAATCTGCTGCAGCGTCGTAAATAGTCTTGGTATGAACGTTGATGGCACACTTGCGGAGAGGAGCCACGGCGGCCGTTTGTTGTGTAAGGATTTGTCCAGGTGTTACATTGAACCCTTTTGAGACTCGGAGTGTCGGCGGCCGTTGCAGTTTGTAGCGGCAGATGTTGGAGCTATGCGACGCGGCTTGCGGGCGTCTGCGGTTCAAGATTGCCCGGAAATCCCAAAGCACCGTGCAAAACTTTGCATGGGCTGGGTCGCAGGAGAAGACTTGCGGGGTGTTCCGAGACATTGAGAGGATGTGCAGAACTTCGCATCCATGCCACGAGCTGAGGTTTGCAACGTAGGAAGCCTCCCAGATTTCAAGTTCCTCTCAATGCAAGTTGATGAAAGCACCAAGTTCGCTCCAAGCCCACACTGAAAACTCCTGATGTTGAAGAATTGTATCGTCCCACCCAAGCTGGTAAGCCTCTGCAGGAGTCGCCTTTGCAAGCTGGGAAGTGCGGCATGGAGGGCGCGCCAACCTTCTAAGAGGCCGTCATCCTCACAAGACATGGGAACTTCAGTACAGTACAACCTTTGACTTGTTTCGTCCGGGCGAGGTTTGGTGAGGTTGAGGTTTCAGTTTCGGTACGAAGAATCAGGGCATGTCGATAGAGGCTGGCCTGAGCGACCATAGTCTCCAGAAGCCGCACACATTGCCTGGCAAGCTGCAACTGCTGGCAGGATTATGCTTATAGCGTTGTTTGTTCCCCGATTTTGTGCGCTAATAATAGTATGTCGTCCCTACAGTTCCTTAACAGGGATGTGGCTACTGCGACTGTGACCACGGAGCGTGCGCGACCGGCACGCGAGCGGCAGTGGCGGGGTGGACATATATGGGACACAAATCGTGGCCCCGTTCGTTGGGGAGGCAAGGGAAGGCCGAAGTCAATGTTGAAATCCGATACTTCGGCCTTTGAATCGCACTCCCGCGAGGGGGCATTTGGGGTGCGTGTCTTGGGTGAAAATCACGACATCAGTTGGATAGCAAATCTCTCGAAGACGCTTAGTAGGGCCATCGCGGTCGTTTTCCCGTCCCTCAAAGGGGTTCCCCTTCATTATTGGGGTGCACATGGCGCCTTCTTGCTAAAGTCCCACGCACGGCTGCCGACATCGTGTGCTCCTCGCCACAGTGCAGCCACAGTCCCCGCACATTTGGGGGAGGTGCACGTTTCGTCTCATGGCATGGTCCTGGGTATATAGGATTGCTCCATGGCATATATGATATTGATGACGACTTTTTCCATGAACACCAGAGGTATGACGGCTACATGTACAACAAGTACTCGTAGTACGACTCGTGCTCTTGAACGACTGTCGCGACTGTTACCGGCTGTGAAACTAACCTGTTTTGCAGCGCGTACAGTGTGTGTACCTAGAGTTTGTACAGCTTTCAGACGTTCCCCTCTACCGCAGGGGCCCCTTGGACCAAGCCTACGGCTTTGCGGAAAAGTGACTAGTCTTCGCACTGGTAGCGGAGCTCTCGGTTAAGAGAACCACAGCTCGTAGCCCAATAGTACGCCCCCTGCGCGGGCGTGTGGTCGCCATGGCTAGTGGATCGCTAGCATATCGACCACACCAGGATCTGGACACAGACCTGACGAAGTTTGGCTTCCTAGTCTATGCTGGAACCGTTCGTGACTTTCACGAATGGGAGTTCCGAGCTATGACAAGGTGGAAGCAGACCAAGGTTGAGGAGAGATCCGACCTTGCGTCCAAGTTCCTCGACTCCTTAAGGAGCGAGGCATACATTGTCGCAGAAGACTTGGGTACCGACGTTTTGTTCTCTAGTCAGAACATCCCCAAGGTGATCGAGGCGGTTAGAGAACGCCTGTTCCCTTTGGCGGAACAAGAGACAAAGGAACTTTATCGATTGGGAACCCAAGTCGGCGGCATGTTGTCAAGACAGCCGGGCGAGCCGATGATCTCCTACATCGACCGCCGCAAGCGGTGGCTACGCAAGCTTCAGCAATTAGACAAGGCCCTTCACATAAGTGAAGCGGTGCTGACAGATCTGTTGCTGGACAACAGCGGGCTCACCCGGCAAGAGCGACTCATGGTGTTGACCTCGATGGCAGGCAGCACAGCGACGAAGGATGCCGAGGCATCACTGATTCGCATGCATAATCGTATCCATACTCTGGAACGAAAGCAGCCATCCGCCAAAGGCGGAACTGGCAAAGGGAAAGGTTTTCCCAGGAAGGGAGACCGAGGAAAAGGTAAAGGATACGGCAAGAGATCCCAGAAAAGGACTGCTTACACGTACCTTTCGGCCGTGGAAGACCTCTTCGAGTACCCTGACGCCGACGAGGACGAAGACGGAACAGCCTACCTGGCAGGACACGAGGACCAGGACGGCCAAGACGGTGAAGGACAGGACTGGGCGTATCACGGAGAGGAGCTCCCCGTGTACGACAGAGAAGAAGACACAGCGTGTGTTGCCCAGTCGGCCGACGCTTCCCTAAGGGACGTCGAGCTTGATGTCTTCACCGCCTTTATAGGCGCTGGGTTCGACGAGGAAGACAAAGAGGCTTTGGCGTTTCTCGCAGACACTGTGCAATGCGAGACCGTAGCCTTTATGGCGCGGGCCAAGGCTAAGGGTAAAGGAAAGTCCGTGATGCAAAAGGGTGCACATGGATATCGGCCGCGATCTACCGGTCTCACTGTTGAAGACAGGAGACGAAAGCTCCATGAGATTAAACTCAGGAGCACATGCAAAACGTGTGGCAGAAAGGGCCACTGGGCTGGTGACAAGGAATGCCCAGGCCCAGGGAAAGGAGCAGGGAAGCCTGCAGTGGCACACCTTGCCCAGGTTAGGCGTGTGATGGATAAATCCACACAGACCTGCGACTTCAGCGCTAGCCCCAGCGAAAGCGACAGCGAGAGTCACAGCTTTGACCCAGAGCTGACAGCGAACTACGTTAGCTTGGGTCAGGACTCTGAGACGGAGCCTGCGGCGTACATGGGTTTCTTCGACAAGACCGACTTTGAAGAGTCTGACGAAGAGCTCGTGGAAGACTTTGTGTCGCAAGGCGCCCCCTCCACGGAATGGGATACCATAGAGTACCCTGACGGCAGCGATCAGGTGTTTCGGTTCGGGATGCACAAGGGTAGCACCTACCTTGAGGTTTTGCAGAACCACCCCGATTACTACCATTGGGGCCTCAAGGAGAAAGAGCCGAGCACCATGCTAGAAGCATGGCTTATCTGGGTGTATCGCAACTTTGAGGTTCCACCGGTTGGCGGTGGAAGGGCCACACTCAGAGCAGCTACGTTGCCAGTGGACGCAGACTCGCTGCAGCAGGCTAGGAAGGCGGTGACCCTTGAGAAGGCACCCAAGAGCAAACTCGGGTTGTTAAAGGCGGATCCTAAAGGACCGTGTGTTGGCGGCTGTCCCGCACACGCTTTGAACAAAGCCGGCAGCAATGCGCATGTAATCAAGACCACGTGCATGTTGTGCGGTAACAGGACCTCAACCCCGAGACCAAAGGCTGTACCGAAGAACGACCCCCTCACGTGCGAGCACAAGCGCACGGACAACAGGAACAGCACGAGATCGGTACACCGCACCTTTTGTCTTGATTGTTGCACTGTGGTAGAGGAAATCCCGCAGAAGCTCTTTAAGGAGCAGAAGGGACTCGCCGAGCAGGTGCAGCAGTCTCCACTCAAGGTGCAGAACCTCACGAGGAGACAGCTGGAGGAGTACAACTTTACGAAGTTTGAGGCAGGTGAGGTGGTAAAGAAGTTCTTCAAGCACATGGACAAGTTTTTGTTGAGAGTTGACCAAGTCAGTTCAACCGAGTTGTCTAGTTGCCTTGAGGATGCTATGGACCAGGTTGTAGAACAAACGAAGTTACGCATGCAACATGCTAGGGCAGCTGACGTAGCTAGGTCTAGCCAGGAAGTAGAGCCCCCACCTTTGCCTGCGTTTTCCCCAGTACGTAGAGAGCGTAGGAGTGCACAGCCTCGTGAGCAAGCGTCGCCCGCCGCCGCAGCAGCTGCTGGCCCAAGAGAGAGGGGCGCAGCCTTGAGAGACGCCATGGCGGCGTCTCCTCCCAGCGGAAAGGGCTGGGGAAGCCGCGAAAAGTTCGCCGGCGTGGCGACGACGGAGAAGAGTGGTGATCCTGAAGAGGACACCAAGCTGACCCTCACAGCCTTGGTGGGGCAGCTGCAGCAAGATGATCTCGAAGGAGACATCAGCCCGAAGAGTGTGCAGAGCTCAGACAGCGAGCCTGCACCCCTGGACGAGGAGATCGCTGAGCCGCGACTCCCGCTCGTGGATCCCTTAGAGGACCACGACAACGTCTGGGTAATGCTGGACGAGGGCTGCAACCAGACGTGCCACGGGACGAAATGGAGGGCTCACTCCTCAAAGGTCCTGGCAAAGTTTGGGTTGCAGTTCACCAGCGTACGCTCGAGTGGCACGAGCTTCCAGGGCATCGGTGCGGCTCGAGCGACAGGCAAGTTCGCTATGCCGTTCGCCCTCCGCATCATGCCCGAGAGCGGAGGCCTTCGCAGGAGCACGCGTCTGCAAGGAGAGCTTTCCAGCGTGGAGCTGGACTCTCCGGACGTGTTGTGCCTCCTGTCCTTGCAAGATCAGGTTCAACTCGGCCTGGTCAAGGACTTGAGGCGAGGCGAGTGCCGAATCTCGGGGTACTCCGGGACACTACAGCTAGCGAGGCACTCGAAGACCGGCCTCCTCCTCTTGTGCGTTAGCCAGTTTGGGGCGAACGTCACAGAGAGGCACCGCAAGTTTGCGGTGTGTCCCGAGATGATCCCTAAGAGGACATCCAAGAAGGAGAAGAACACTTTCTCGATCCCTTTGAGGGACGGGACACCACGCAAGGAAGAGACCTTGATCCCTTCAGGGGACAAGGACAGCACGGCATACATGCTGTCCGAGATGGTGAAGGAGACATCAGGACAGCGAAAGAGCGTTCTGGTGGTAACGCTGGGCTTGGAAAAGGTAGAGTCCTGCCAACGTGGGCGCGGCACCTACCGTGGACTCACGGAACTTTTCCGGAGTATGCGGCAGGGGCAGTCGCACGAGTTCTCGCTGAACAACGAGGCCCACGAGGGCACGCTTCTGGAGAGCCTGCGCCAGAACTTTGAGTCCTTCCGGGACTACGCCACGGAGCAGATCCTTTTTCTGGACTGCCGGCACATGAACGACCCGGGCAAGGACAAGTCCCTCAGGGACCACTTAGGCACGTACCCCAAGAACGTGCAAGCAATGGTTTTGGACCCGAAGACAAATGGAAAATGGGTTGCGTTCATGAAGGAGGTCGTGCCGGCCGTGCACAAGCTCATCCAGGAGAACGAGCAGTGCGTGATTTTTATGTTTTGCAAATCGGGCAGACACAGGTCTGTTTCGAATGCAAAGATCTTCTACGATCTCATAAAGGAGACGTATGAAGTGGAAGCGAAGTTACTTCACCTTTGCGACGGCCACAACTGGCGATACCTATGTGGTGGTTGCGAAGAGTGCAACTGGGAGTCCAGAGAGGCTCGAGGCACCGCAGAGAAGGTGATGGACTTCGCAAAGGAGCGCTGGTTCGAATTCGTGCCCAAGGTGTGGGTGCGAAAGGATGGCCAGCGCCGCTTAGGCGACGATGGCGTCGTGGTGGAAGAGCCGATTCCTTCGGGGACAGCTCAGGCAGAAGGCGCGGGATCAAGCAGTGACCCGGCAGCCAAGCAAGAGGCCGCTCGAGGCGAGCAGCCTGGAGACGAGGACCACGACGAGGACGACATCACTGGGGCAGCTGAGGCCAGTGCCAGCTCGAAGGCACAGGCGCAGCCCTACACGGTGGACACCCCTGAGGGAGTGTCGGTGCCGGTCCACGACTTGCGCCCCGAGCTGGAAGGATTAGATGACAAGTCCCTTGAGAAGGTAAGTTTTCTTTTTCTTTCTAGGGTTTATAGTGTCTTCAACCCAGCGAAGCTTACGGAAGTCACTACGCTCGTCGCCAAGTACGCGGACCACACCTCGCTCACTGCGCCGTTGCCGCGAAGTACTCTAATTAGAGTACGAGGCGGCGAAGGCACTTCTGTCGTCGTTGGTGGCAGACGTCCGATCCGGAAAACGGACGGAGAAGGAGTGGGACACCGACCTGGAGCTGGCGAACCGAAGCCTGGACCAGGCGATCCTCCAGCTGGACGAGGACAAGGCCGCGGCACCACCTGGCGCAACCACAGCTGGAAGGACGACCGCTCAGGCGGCGGACCCACCGCCAAGAGAAAGGACCCGATCGGCACAGGCCGACGGGCGAGGACAAAAGGGAAAAGGTGAGAAAGGAAAAGGAAAAGAGAAAGGAAAAGGAAAAGGCGACAAAGGACGCTGGCCGAACACCGAACCCCGAGGACCGAGGACTCACACGGAGTCCGCTCCGGCCAGTACGACCCACGCCGAAGCTCGACACGACCTTACCAGTATGGGGCAAAACCCCGACACCTTGTCGGATGCCTATTTGACCCAAGTCATCGCGGGTCACAAAAGGCATGGCGAGGTGGCCTTCAAAACCTGGTTGCAACCAGGTGATGGGGCCGGGCCGCCGGTTCGAGTGTCCTACCGGGCACACGCTGCTAATTCCTGGGATAAAGTCCCGACGGAATTGCAGCGCTATCGCAAGCATGTTGCGATTCAGTGGCGGTCCGACGGCCCATGGGAGTGGGGCGAGAAGAACGTGGCAGCACACTCCTGGGTCTACTTCGGGGACAGGTGGAACGAGCATCCAAGGAATATGTTTATTCCTTGTGCCCCCGCGAGGCGGCAGTCCGTTCTTCGTCGGAGGAATGCTCCCAGATCTCATGCACTCTGACCTTCGGGTCATGAAAAAGGAGACTGGGAAAATGGTAGGATTCTTGTAAGAACCTCAACACGCACGACGACCTGCTGATGCAGGCCTTGGGGCTCCCGTCAGTGGCAATCACGGGCGAGCCGCCCACGATCTTTGTCCTGGCGAGCTCGGAGTTCCAGCCCGGATCCCTTGAGAGGACCGGCGCTAAGGTGATCGTGCGACACCCTGGCTACCGTATGATCCTTCTGGAGGACATCGGTTGGCAGAAGCAAATCTCTAAAGAGATTGCTAAGATCCGTCCCGACCTGCTGCTGCTGGTGTACAGTTTGGAAGACCAGGTAGGTCTCACCCCGCAGGTACAAACCTGGCTCCAGTCCCTCTCCGCGTACACAAAAGAAGTGCTTGTTCTCGACAGTTTAGGCAGTGTTAGGTGGAACTTGTGGTTCGAGAACAGTGTCGAGGGTACTGAGAGAGAGTTTCAGTTGTTTCAGTGTAGGGGTGACCTTTGCATAGGGACGTTTTCGCAGGCGATAGGTGAAGTCATGTCAAGTTGGGCGAACTGTGACCACGATATTCACTACTCACCTGTTAGCATCGACACAGTTGGAACACATGTTGGTTTTGCCGAAACCTTGTTGCTTGTGTTGCAAGAGGGCTGTGTAGAGCACCACGTTGCTGAGGCGTTTCCTGTTGAGGCAAGGCAGGAAGAGGTTGAGGAATCTGGTACTCTAGATGCTATAGTGGATCCCAGAGACAATAGGACCACTTTCATGGATGATCTGGAACTCGCCGAGGAAGCAGACATCTTAGACACGTTGCCTTTAGCAGGGTTTCCTAAGGAAGAGTCTGAGAGGAGAAAGGCATGGTCTAAGGTGCCACGGCGTGTTCGCTTGGGGATCAGGAGGTTGCACACCATGATGAACCACAAGCCTAAGGAGGTGCTAGTGCAGGTACTCCGTGGGGCAGGTGCTTCTGAAGAGTTGGTGAATGCAGCTAAGATCTTCAAGTGTGAGTCTTGCAGGGTTAGCGAAGAGAAGGTTCGCACACACCCTGTGTCAGCTCCACCACCTTACGAGTTCAACCACACAGTTTCGGTGGACGTGCTGGAGACTGCAGACTCAACAGGCGCAAAGTTTAGCTGGCTGAACATTGTAGATGTCGGCACAAGCTATCAAGTTGTGACCTTAGTCCGCGTTGGTGGCGGACAGCCGAGCTCAGCCAAGTGCTTGCAGAAGTTCATGCAGCACTGGGTTTCCCCTTTTGGGTGGCCAAAGGTGGTTTCCCACGACCGTGGTTTACACAACCGGGGCGCTTTCGCTCACGGCTTGAGTAGCCATGGAGTCCAGATCCGCCAAGCCGGACTGGAATCGCCTGAGCACATTGGGAAGTGCGAAAGGCATGGAGGCATCATAAAGCGAGCCTTCAAGCGTTTGGTCAAGGACCACAACGTTGTGGGCAAAGATGATGTCAAGGTGGCGATGCTCGAGGCGCAGGTCGCAAAGAACGAGTTCATGCGTGTTGGAGGCTTCAGCCCCACTCAGTGGGTGCTTGGACGCCTGCCCAGAGGAGTGGGTCACGTTTTGGACGAGGAAGAGCTAGGACAGCTTGGAGTTTTGTCGGGCAGGTTAGATGCCACGACTGCGTTCGGCCGACAGGCCGAATTCCGCCACACTGCCAGAAAGGCATTCGTCCATGAGGACTGCAGTCGCAGGGTGCGAAAGACCGTTTTGCGAAAAGCGGCTCCCCTGCCGGGGAAATACCAAGCTGGGGACCTAGTTTGCTATAGGATCGCGCGAGATGAGCACTCAGGCGTAAGTACGTGGTCGACTGTTAGTAAAATAATCGGCTTCGATAACAAAACAGTCTGGGTGGTGCATCAGGGCGTGCCAGTGGCGACCAGCTTGGCACGACTCAGACCGTGCACATCGGCTGAGGTTCTAGCGTTCCAAGTGTTGAACCGTGGCAACATACAGTACGAGCACGCGGAGGTTGAACGCGAGCAGCAAAGGTACATTGATGCCACCGGGGATGATCTAGTACTAGACGACCCAGAAGAGCCACCGGACGGAGGAATTGGAATAGGTTCTCCGATCCAAATGGATGCCGAAGCAGATCCTCCAGAGACTGCGGCTGCTGCTCCAGAACGAGCTGTTCGAAGGAGAGTTGGAGCAACACGTGAAGAGTCACGGGCCGTGACTGTGGAGGAGCCAGAGGACGAGCAGGTGGACCCTACAGGAGGGATCCAAGAGCCGATGGCTGAGGACACGGCGGTGGACGCCGATGTTGAGGCCGAAGCCACAGAAGGTAGCTCAGCGCTTCTTCTGAGGGCTTACGCTAGCCACTTCTGGACGAAAGAGGAAAGGTGTTGAATTCTGTACATAGGAACGCCCCACACCTTTGGTGAGCCCAGGCTACGGTATAGTATTGTATAGCTGTATACTATGTGACCGATGCAGCGCCTTTGGTTCAAGAGTAAAAGCGTGACCGCTCAGGGTTTTACAGTTTAACTTGGTAGCGGAGCAAGGAAGCCTGAAGATCCAGGAAACCTGTGGGCCGAAGGAAACCGGATTGGAACCGGAAGAAGTACACGAGGATACCTGGAAACTGGACAGTAAATCTTGGAATTCGCCATGAAGATGATCATGGAGAAGATGTACCAGGACCTCTTGCTATTTGTGGTTGGATTCTGTATGAGTATCACGCTGAGCCAAGGAAGCATTCAGGAAACAAGTTGCTTGCGGATGAACATGTCTCACCTTGTTATTCGACCTCAGCCGTTTACCCTCGAAGAGGAAATTTCGGATTGTGTATGGGATCAATTGTATCCCCGAGTATGGGAGAACGATCGGAAGAAGGATCTCTTGTCCCAGCGGCAGGAACTATGGAACTCAAAGACAGTGAGATCTTCAAGGATGAACCTCACCAGAAAGTATCTCGGGTTACGGAACATGAACCGTTGCCGAGAGTGGCAAGGCCTGGACATGAAGATGTCATGGTGGACCGGACTGCGGAGTTGGAAGAAATGCGGCAAAGTGCAGAAGAGAGGCGAGCTACCTTGGTGGAGCAAGCTAACCTCCTGCAGACGCCAGGAAGGAAAGCTGAAAGTACTCCAGCAAAGACTCCAGGTACAACTGGAGGAAAGTCGCGAGAAGAAAAACTGCCAAGAAAGAAGCCAAGCAAAGCCGTAAGGCCGAGAAGGCTAGGAAGAAACAGGAAGAAGAAGCCACCAGTCCTCAAGGTGTTCGACGTAAGTTGGATGAAGCTATGGAAGTGGCAGGATCGATTGAGAACGTCATGTTGCTTGAGAAAGAGTATAAGAGATTCAGACTTGACGGAAAGTATCAACCCCCCTTCCTCAGTATCTACAGCCGGATGTTGCAGAACAATCAGAAATTCAAGCCCAGATCTTTCTATGATCCCCCAGGAAAGGATCAAGAGACAGAACAACTTGAAGCTCTTAAGAAGGAAGAAGAGAAGAAGTCCGAGGCAGAGTCTCGGAAGAGAAAATTGGCCGAGCTGGAGGAGCAAAAGCGGATCTTGGAAGCTGAGACAAAGGAGAAGCAGCAAGCACTGGAGGAAGAAACCAAACGTCTTCGCGCAGTGGAAGAATCGGAGCGTATGGCTAAAGCACTCCAGGAAGCTAACAAGCCGCCAGCCAAGATCACGGTACCTGAAGCAGCACTGGATTCGGCGGAAGAATGGTACCGCAACAAAGCCCTTGAAGTCATGGGCAAGCTACGAGCTCGTAAAGGCGAACAAACGAAGAACGCTCGTAAGGCCGAGGAAAGTTGGCTCCAAGCTTGCAGGAATGTGGAGAAGGCTCAAAGTGGATTTATTGTGGCATCGGAAAGGCTGCAAAGTGCTATGGGACAAGCCTTCAACATTGCAGTACGCCACGGAGAAGAAAAGGGTCTACTTCAGATCTTGCAATCCATCCACGATGGAACCACGCAAGCACCAGAGCCAGCTGAACCCGCTGTTAAAGCGATGCCAAAGAAAATGCCCAAGTTGGGAACGGACGCTCAGGCTGGACAGGAAAAAGAGAAGAAGCTTCCAGAGCAGAGAAGGTCTGGAAAAGGGAAGAAGCAACCGCCTGAGGAAACCCCAGGATGGGAGTGGACAGAAAGAATTTATGAAGAAGACATCGACGAGAATCGCCCTCTACGAAGCGGAGAAGAGTATTTACCTGGGTCCGAACCTTTCAGTCCCACTTGGACAAAGGAGTTGGTACAAATCCTTTCTGGATTGGCTATGCGCGGGATTGGAGAGAAAGACGGAGAGTATCAGCCCCTATGGGAGTTCCCTTGGCAGATCAAGTCGTATGAAGACTATGATGCAATCCAAGCCCAGCTGGAACCGTACAGCGTACGCCTCATTCCGTCTCGCCGCGAGTGTAAAGGTGCTGGACGCTTCGCGGAGGTATGGAGTATGCACCCAGCCGGAAAGGGTCGTTTGGACATCGAGCCAACGGAGACTACCCGGCGCCGTACTGTGTACGGGAGCTTACCTCCAGGAAAAAGTTTGTGCTCGCTATGCTGGCATGGAGGACATTGGAAGAAGGAGTGCAAGTACCGCCAGCTATGCTTTTGCCTGTACGAGCCGATGCTCACGATACTGGATCGCGGAAACAAGACGAGGCGACTGTATCCGATTCGAGGAATCACTCGTCCCGGATTCCAAGGAGATACTACGAATCCGTACAAAAGGTTTCTCCCGATGCTCGCTCTTTGCGACTTTGGGAGTATGTCCAGGGAAGTCTCGGAAAGTAACAAGCGATACTGGAAGCAGGCAAAGGATGAAGGAGATTTTCCAGTACTGTATCGAGAAGAGCAGGCCAGCCGGAAAAAGGAAGCAAGCCAGTCAGCTACAGCAAAGAAGAAGACCAAGCCAGAGAAGCCCAGCATCTGGACAGCCAAGGAGGATGAAAAGAAGGTTGTGGTTTTGGACGAGCCTAGCCCGGAAGCACCAAGCCGAGAGGAGCTTCGGCAGAAGTACGAAGAGCACCACAAGGCCAAGCTACGCAAAACGTTGGAGTCGCGTGAAGCAAAGAAAATCTTGGATGCCCCGGAAGCGGATGCAGGAAAAGATCAAGAAGTTCCAAAGGAAGCCGTTCCGGAAGAACCTGAAGTACCAGAAGCACCCGCAGTGCCAGAAAAGACGCCTGTCAGGGACACCATGGACGAAGCAGGCAGTGACAGTAAGATGTCGGATGAGGCCAGCGAAAGTGAATCCCCTGTGGAGAATTCGGAGTCGTCGGAAATCGACGAACCAAAACGCCGTAAGACCGCTAAGGAAAGGCAGCAGGAAGAAGCTGGAAGAAGTGAGCCAGCAGAGCAGATCGATAAGAATGATCTGTGAGGCGCTTGAGCAACTCGCTGCCCAGTGTACGAAGTTGCGCGCAGCAAACGCTGTGCCTGTACTGATAGCACTTCTGCTCATCTGGAGTTGCGGAAGAATGCAAAAAGGAGTGACACGCAGCAGGGATGCCGTCACCCATCTACCTTGTATGCGAAGGAAAGTTAACCGGATGCATAGTATTCGTTGGAGACGTAAAGTGAGTGGATGCAAGCGGAAATTCAGAGCAATGGTACTTGTTTGTTTGCTTGTCAGGACGGAAGCTATGCAAGGACCTCAAGCCGCACAACCATCATCAGCCGCCGGAGTACCAGTACAAGATGGAGCAGATGGAGATGGATTAGGCATGGTACCTACTCAAGAGATACTTGGACAATTGGTCCAGAATTCCAGAGTCACTACAGAAGCTATTCACCAGCTAGTTACCTATTCTGGAAACCAAGGAAATACAGGAAGTTCGTATGAAGGAATACTCTCTAAGGCATTGGAAGGTGCAGTGAAGATGTTGGGAAGACCACCATCATTTGGTGGAGGTAAAACCGATGCACAAGATTTCATGGACTTCAAAGAACAACTTTATAATATTCTTGCGTATGCGGAACCCAAGTATTCGGATGCCTTTAAGAACTTGGAGAAGTTGGGAGACCATGAAGTACTACCAGCTACTTTCTCGGATGAAACGTATCAGACTATGTCAACGAAGCTGTACTCGCTATTGAATTCTTGGTTGTCAGGAACCACGAAGCAGCATGCACGAGATCCCAGTATTGCTGGATCCCGGAATGGATTTGCTTTGTGGAAATCATTGCTGAGGATGTATCAGCCGAGTACGAGAAGTCGGAGTCTAGCTTTGATGCAAGCGATTCATGGATACCCAAACTTTTCACCCGGACTAAGTGCTGTGGCACAGATTTCGAAGCTGGAAGAACTAGTCAAAGACTATGAGAGATGTAGTGGAGTGAGCTACCCTCGAGAGATTCTCCTGTCGACTCTCTTGAGATGTATCCCTAGTCCTCTGAAGGAACACATCCATCTTCAGCTTACGGATAAAACAACATACAGCCAAGTCAAAGAAAGCGTACTAGTCTACGAGCGGACTACGAGAAGTTGGATGCCGAACCAAGTATATCAACCCCTTGAATCAGGACATGGTCAACAGTACCTAGGAGCAGTAGAGAATGCCCCTACTGGTGGAGGACATCAAGCAATGGAAGTGAACAGAGTAGAGTACAAAGGAAAAGGATGGAAAGGAAAAGGCGGAAAAGGAAAAGGCAAGAAAGGCTATGGCAAGATGTTTGGAGGATTCGGAGCCATGCAGGCAGGTAGAGGATTCAGCAGGTTTGGTCGAGGTAGAGGAAAAGGCAAAGGCCGAGGTAAAGGTAGAGGAAAAGGTAAAGGTAAGAAAGGTGGAAAAGGCCGGAAAGGCAAAGGAAAGAGTAAAGGAAAAGGAAAGAAAGGAAAAGGAAAACGACTTGGAAGGACAGTTTGTAGACTTTGTCATCAGGAAGGACACTGGGGAAATGAATGCCCCAACAGACATTCTGTTCGTAACGTGGAAGCCGAAGAACAGTCCCAAGCGGAAGCGTATCCCAACAATCCACCGAACCAAGAACCTTACCCAAAGCCTAATGTGGTCGAAACTGGTAGTATTCGCCAGACGACGAGCCGACCGGATCCAAGGATCGTCACCCGGAGAGTAGGAGCGTCAAGTGGATCAAGTGGATTCAACCCAAAACCATTTTACCACATAGCTACGCCGCCGGAAGAATATCCGGAGACCTTCCCAATCAACTCAGAAGATGAGTCGGACATTGACATCACGTATGTCAACACCATCCGTATGGTTCGAGATGTTGCAGATGAAACTGCAGAAGGTGAGGAAGTCACCAACCCATTTTTCGGTGAACTACCCAGTCCAGGTTTTACAGACTCAGATGAGGAACTTGGATCAGGAGAACCTACTGGAATTTGCCAAGGTTGTGGTACACGCTTGGAACCGGTG